GTGGGGAGAAGAAGTAAATCACTCGAAAAATTTGATAAATCGCGTGTACATAAGATTCCTCCTTGATGAAACTCCATACAAAAAATTCAAGAAAAAGACGCTGAATTTAGAAAATGTTTGTATATTTTGGTGTCTCGCATTTGCAAAACATCAAAAGTAGAATTGGTGAATCTAAAGAAGTTGGATGCAAGATCAAGACCACTTGTATACCTTGGTTCCGAATCGGGAACGAAAGCCTATTGGCTACTTACCCAACAACTCAAAAAATAATTGTAAGTCGAGACGTTATTTTTGATGAAACTAAAGGGTGAGATTGGAGTAAAAATTGAGGAACCAATTTTGAAGAATCGGGTTCATTCATGATAACATGAGACAACCAAAATATCGAAGCTAACGATGACTCATATACAATAGATCAAAACAATGAAACAGAGTTTGAATCGAATGAGAAAGAAGATGAAGATCAACCAAGTTCATCCAATAATGAACAAAACACATTGCAGCAAGAAACACAAATAGTGACCGGTTTACAAAGGCCTTCAAGAACAATTGTACCTACAAAACAATTTCAAGATTATGTACTTGATCTTGATGAAGTCGATGAACTTATATTAGAAACTAGTGATGAACCAACAACGGTTGAAGAGGAAAAGAAGCAGTCGGAGTGGGTTAAAGCCATGAATGCAGAAATTGACTCAATAAATAAGAATAATACATGGAAGCTTGTGGAGAAGCCTACGGGGGTGAAAGCAATTGGTCTTAGATGGGTGTTCAAAATAAAGAAGAATGCGGATGGCACGATTTAACAAGTACAAAGCAAGGTTAGTTGCTAAAGGTTATGTACAACAACCGGGAGTTGATTTTCAAAAAGTATTTGCTCCTGTGGCTCGAATTGAAACAATTCATTTTCTTATAGCCATAGCTGCTATGAACGGATGGGAATTACATCATTTATATGTCAAGACGACATTCTTATATGGAGAATTGAAAGAAACCGGCTATGTAACACAACCAGAAGGATATGTAAAGAAAGGAAATGAGCATAAGGTATATCAACTCACGAGGGAACTATATGGTCTAAGACAAGCACCTAGAGCATGGAATATGAAGCTTGATGGAATTTTAAAGAACTTGAAATTTCAAAGGTGTAAGAAAGAACCATAAGTGTACCGGAAAAATGAAGGGACTAATATACTAATTTTGGCAGTTTATGTTGATGACTTGTTTGTTACAGGTACAAGCTTAAGCACGATTAGAAGATTCAAGATCGAAATGTCAAAGAATTCCGATATATTAGATCTTGGAAAGTTCACTTACTACCTTGGCATAGAAGTTAAGCAAGGAGAAACTGGAATTACAATTAGTCAAGAAGCTTATGCTTAACGAATCCTAAAAGAAGTCGGTTTACATGATTGCAATCCAACCCACATTTCAATGGAACCTGGAAGAAAGTTGACAAAGGCTGAAGATGTTCCAAATTTTGATCCAAATTGATACAGGAAGGTGGTAGGGTGTTTAAGGTATCTCTTGTAAACAAGACCCGATATGGCATTTTCGGTTGGAGTTATAAGCCGGTATATGCAAAGTCCAAGATAAATCACATGGTGTTGCAATCAAACAAATTCTAAGGTATCTACGAGGGACAACTACACATGAAATAAAGTATGAGAGTACTGGACAAAAGAAGCTTGTGGGTTATAGTGACAACAGTCACAATACTGATCCAGATGATGGAAAAAGTACAACTAGTCGTATATTTTACTATAGGTCATCCCCAATAACGTGGTGTTCACAAAAGAAAGATACAGTTGCATTGTCATCTTGTGAGGCAAAGTTCATGGCAGCCAATGCAACTGCATGTTAAGCGATAAGACTTCAAGATCTGTTAGGAGAAATCATGAAAGCACCTCAAGAAAAGGTGGTTTTAAGGGTGGATAACATGTCTGCAATAGAGATCCCGAAAAATCATGTTTTTCACGGAAAAAGTAAGCACATAAACACAAGATACCACTTCATTCGTAATTGTGTTGAAAACGAACAAGTGGAGGTGGAGTACATTCTCGGTGAAGAACAGAAGGCACACATTCTGACAAAGCCACTAGCTCGAACAAAGTTCAAGGAGATGAAGACCTTGGTCTGGATCGAAGACATTTCTAGAAGGACTTAGAAATTAGGGGGTGATTGTTTGAATTCCTAAGTCAAGTAGGGCTCTAGGATCCAATTTCTTGGGGCTTAAGCAAGTTGGTTTTAAGTTTCCTAGTCTTAAGTGTTGTTTGTTTTTTCGAAACAAAAATGTCTGAAGTCTGCGGACCACCTCTGCAACCCTCTGTAGCAGAAGAGGTGGAACAAACGACTGCAAAATTTAATAAAAAGTCTGTTTGTTTTTTAATGTCTGCAGACTGCTGCAGTAAGTTAAAGTAAGGTGTGAAAAGGTTTGAAGCAGTTGGTTTAGTGATGCGCCACGCAGCACACGCGCAACATTTTTTAAGTCAGAAGTCTTCTGAAAAACGAACAGCTGCGAAAGACCAAGTGTTGCGCGTGTGCAACAATAAGTGGTCTGATATCAAATAAGGACGAAAACAAAAATGCATATAATTGTAACTTACAAAACTAACAAATAACTCATAGTTAGCTGAACACATAGTTAGCTGAACATGAAATGATCCTATATTTACCATAAAACAGTCTCCAAAGTCAAGGTAGTCCAAAATATTCAAGATGATCTAAACAAACACGGAGCCAATATTTGTTGCGATGGAAATGACAAGAAGATACTTTAATTAGCAAAAAGCGGAACTTTGAACCAGATATACAAATTAGGGGTGTAAACGAGCCGAGCCGAGCCCGAGCCTGACCAAGCTCGAGCTCGGCTCGTTTAATTTTAA